TTATTGTTCATTTATGGAGATAATCGATATTTGTGAGTTATAAAGTTGATGGCCCAGACGGTAAAACTAGGAACCCCAGGTCCTTTGCCTTTGTCACGATTGACACTTGGGGCTCTAGTTCATTTAAGGAAAATGATTAGCAACAATCACTTGAATTGAATTGAAATGAGGTTTAACGGCTCCTAACTGGGCTAATGAAGACAGGCATATGCCATACAGTGTGCTATGAGGGAAATTTTGCCCGGACAGCGGCACTACGGCCTACACTTATATCGAATTCCAGCTGTCAAGGGATCTTTTACATGCACACCAATGTGTACACAGGACCTCGGTTTTCCGTCCCATCAGAACGACAGCTGTCCTTGTCAGATCCAGGCAGTACAGCTGTCCTTGTCAGAACCAGGCAGTACAGACGCTCTGCTGGTGACCTTGGACCACAAGATTATCATAAACCCTCGGTAACTTTTAGCTTCTGAAATCCAGATCAGATCCAATCCATCATTCCAGTAAGCCATAACAATTACTGATGGATGTCATGCAAGAGGCAGGATATGCTAAATTTCTAGAACACCTGATATCACCTATCATTCAAGGAGTTCACATTGCTAACACATTTTTCATGATAATCATACCTCAACAAAGAATCTTATTTACTAGGCTGGTGTATTTATCTTGGTATCTTTAAATTAATCAATACGTATTGTTTGGGTGGGGCTCATCTTATTTTCCCAGAAATCGCATTACAGTATATACATGTAAACAATAATCATACAAATATTGGCCTTGACTCGACTCAGATCTTAAAAAATATGAACTCTCCAAACTGGAAAAAAATGGCATTAAGAGCGTGTCCGCGAGATCACCATGCAGGGGGTGATAACCCTTGGGTCAGGGATTTGGACCAAATTTTTTCTGTGAGATGGGTTAGTACCCAGATACATCCCCACAAAATATTAGATTGATTCAGTTGATATCGACCTGGAAAATTGGAAAAGTATTTTTTAATCGAAAAATAAGCCAAAAATAGGCAATTTTGGATCCAAATTTGAATGACCTGCTATTCGGACAATAATTGATTTGGATAGACAAAATTATGGGCATTAGTAGGACCACTCAGGTTCCTCCTTCACACTGAGTTTGAAGTTTCTACTGCTAATGATACCTTGGTACTGGCCGGATACCCAACTCTCTCTGAAAATTGAATTTAATGAAAACCAATGTTTAAGAGGCTATAGCTCGTTCTTTGCAGGGACTAGGACCAAAGTTGAATGTTACCCACAACTAGCAACCTTCCTACTAACAAAATAAAAAATAAAAATGACCGGAACAGTCATAATAAAAACAGGAGAAATATATTAAAAACACCAAAAATTAGGATAAAATGTCCCGTTTATCAATACCCCAGATGAAGTATATGTATGGACATCTTTACAAATTTAATATATTCCATTTAGTCGTTAGCAAGGATGATTTAGACATGAGAGGAACGAAGTAAAATGAGATTTAAAGTCCACTGGACACAAACTAGGTCATTTTGGGACTAGCATAATATGGTGATGCATATTGTATCTATGGACATCATCACAAAGTTAATATATTCGTTAGCAAGGATGATTTTGACTTAAGAGAGGGAAATGGGGTTTAAGGTCCACTCAACACAAACTAGGTCATTTGGGGACTAAATTTTTTATGGTACAATTTTACTTCAATAATACACTTGTGGGAAAAGAGAATATCCATGAGGTTGGACAAACAACACCACACCATGTCACTGGCATGCTGTCACACCACTTAACTCAATGACAGACCTTAGGATCTAAAGTCTATGTGTTAAACCAGGGGATTGTAGATGATCCAGTGACAGTAAGTCCTAGTCACACAATCAGCAAGACGACTATACAACACCTTTTCTACCAATGTTCCTTGTGCCAAATAGGTTATTTTGGTCAAACATATTTTAGGAATCAGACCAGCTTATTCCCATCTGTATTTAGGAGCCGATCATTGTATAGAAACATTTGGACGTTTTCATGGAGAGGCATTACAGATCGGGAGGCTATGATAGTTCCATATTGAAATCCCTGAAGGAGAAGAGGTCAAAAACAGTACTACAAAATAAAACAGTACTCTGTGGTCCAAAAACCTTGAAGGAAGGTCAGAGAGCATTTACACTCGAACATAGGAATCTATGTAAGTGAGCACTTCTGCTCGTCGAACGTAGTGCCATAAATCCTGTTGTGATCTATCTTTCCCTTCAGAGATTTCAATACCAGACATTAAATGTCCCTACATGAACATTTCTGAATGTTTCTTCTTATGGTTCTTCTTTACATGAGCAGGTGTACAAATTAATAGATATCAAGTTTATGATACTGATAGTAATGTCAGTCAAATTTATACGATGATCTGCTCATGAATACAGATCTTAATAACAGTGGTCTGATCCCTGCAAAATTACACACCACGTATGACTCTTCCCTATGGCTATCAAGCAAGTGTGAAAGTCAGATTTTGTCACAAAAATATTATGATTTTAAACAAAATGATCTATTTGACACGATTCACGTTGAAATTACGAAATATTACAAGTAATGGTGATGATCAGTAGTCATTTGAAGATAATCGTTGGTCATTGCTGAAAAGGTGCTGCTTTGGTTACATTGTGCTAATATAAAAGCTTGTTATGCCAGTCCTTACATTTATGCACTTCCGTGCTACTAACTACTGAATACAGATGAGAATAATCGTTGCCTGATCCTGCAAAATTATACACCAGTTAAGCCCCTTTCCTACGATGACCGCGAACGTCCGATTTTGTCACAAAAACTTCATGATTTTTAACCAAGATAGTATATCTGGCACAAGGAACGTTCAAGTAACAAAAAATAGTACTAATGTTCATAATCAACGGTCATTTGAACTCTTGAAAATAGTAGTCGGTCATCAGTGAAAAGACGAATTTCGTGGAAAATACCGTTTTTACACATTTTCAGAATATTACAGCACTCTAGTGGGTTGCGTTCCGGTCAGTTTTTTTCTTTTGACATTTACTTTGAGAAATGCCCTTCACAACCACACCAAGCAATTCTATGTCAGACCTGCAAAGAAGCAGCTACATGCATTTTGGGATAGCATAGTTTTAAACATATGTAAAATGACCACTTTATGATCACTCACAGAAAATTCCACACGATTCATTCATTCCCAAACGACTGCAGGATTTTAAGACGACTACTAGGCCTATCATACCTGACCAATATCAAAAATTTAGAGACACAACATTTCGGGTAGGAGTGTTTTGAAATTAGGGTAACAAATTGGTCGAAATATGTCAATTTTTGCCCCAAAACAACAATTTCCAGTTATACCGGAAGTTGTCCGTTCAAAATTTTTTCACTTCATCATGTGACTTCTGTCGCCTAGGGGTCCCCATAGACCAAGTATGGTTGAAATTTGCTGACCCCCCGGGTTATCGTTTTTTTCAATTTCTGCATGGTGCTCTCGTGGACACGCTCTTAAATCTGCATAGATTGATTCTGTTGGTTTTTTAGCCAACACTAGCCTAACATACAAGTAGCTCACTCAGAGTCAGATAAAGTATATAAAACTTATCTTTACCAAAAAATTCTGATTCTGAAAATTAAGGTCTAACTATCACACTAATTCAACTTAAGTAGTGGAAAGGGTCTTGGCACAAGGCAGAATATGCTTAATCATTCTGGGGCACCTGATACCACTCTGTATCTAAGGAGATTACATAACATAGCAGCATAAGCGACTGGGATGTGGTACATTTTTATTGCAGTATTTCACTTGCATGCAGAGGACTTTAGAAATGAAAAAACCTGAGAGGCTCATATTCCTGAAAAAATGGAAGCGAAATCCATATCTAGCAATTGCTGCACTTAAAGCTGGGTTGTGCTTTTGACATACATGTAGTGTGTCTATTTTTATCGTCCAATCAAATCTCTCTAGAGTTCCATTATTGGGTTCTTTCAGTTTATGGAAACAACTGACATAGGTAAGGAGTCTTCCCTTAAACTTCAGACAGTTGATTAAATGTATCAAAAGATTGTGAAAATATTCTTTTTTCCTGCCTGGTCCAACAATGTTTACGTTGGCAACTTTTTAGGTAGCCTCGTTTATCACACCATTAGTTTTTCTGCCATATTCTGATATTCATTCTACACTTTTATGTTAATATATTTAGAGCTCAAGTTAACTGTGATTGATTTGTTATGCTATAAAGGATTAGTTTGTTAACTCGACTGTTAACTTGTCATAATTAGAATTAGAAATCTAGATTTCTCTCGTTAATATAACGGATTATGATCCCATCATTGTTCAATTAAGTAAGCCCTCCCAACAGAAATGGCATCTATTTATATATCCTATATGGAAATAAACCATGCCGTGCACCCTCCAAAAAAGCCAATCAAATTATTAAGAAGGCTGATATGCAAGTAGAAATGTTACAATACAAATAATTAGGCTTTTCAGGACTGATCCCGAGACAGAAATGATATGTCACATTGGATAATTTTTTAACCATTTTAAATCAAAATGGATTCACACTTGAACTTTTGCAACGACAGCTATACGATTTCATAAGATTTAGTCCCGAAGGGTCCCTATATTCTTTGTATTTATATCTTGTCATAATTAGGTGTAATCAAATGAAAAACTGTAAGATATGATGAGGCAAGGCAGATGAACTTACTTAATCATCATCACATGCAACTACTATCTCAAATCTATAACTTGAAACGTCCTACTTTTCTGCATCAACTGCTCTATACAGGCACACATGAGGGAAACTACACCTCTTCTCTACTACGAATTCAACATATACAATGGACCTCCTTGCTATACCCTCTGTTCTGCACCACTGACATGAGGAGAGGAACCATGAGGTGATTAGATAACAAGTCTATGGGGGGGCACATTGGTCCACATCTATAAGTACATGTAGCTAAGAAAAAAAGTGTAAACAGACTTACCTGGGAATTTTAAACAGAGCCCTCCTAGGATCTACATCGGACAGGGGTGGAGAGCCATCAGCTAATTCTATGGCAGTGATACCTAGTGACCATATATCACATCGTACATCATAACTATATTCTATCTGATTTTCACAAGCTATCACCTATATGACCAAATATAAACTGTTATGTATAACAATAGATATTATGAACCTGATTCATATCAAAATCATCTCAAGTTCAAAGTTTGTCATGCCGTGATCAATCAAAATAAAATCTATGGCACCAAAGGCAAAATTAATTCTAATATTTCAAAAGAATTCTTTTTTAATGGTTTTTCTATATCTTACATGATTTTCTTTTTCCAAATGTATATAATTACAGAGCAGATATTAAGATACTAGTTTGAAGTCTTGGCCTATATAAATGAATTAATGATCATAAAAAGCATATTTCTGATATTAACCACAGGAACAAGACTGACAAAGAACAGGGGCAGTTCGGTTTTGATTTTGAAATACAATGTATGATTAATAGATACACAGAGAATGAAAACAATCAGAAATTTGTACAAACAACTTTCCAGACAACATAATTGTTTTCTAGAAAGTAAATAAACCACAGAATTGATTGTTTGCCAGTACAAATTTTCAATTATCTAAAAAACTGATTGAACAAATTTTGTATAAACAATCAATACAATCTGTAAAATATCAGAAACATTGGTATGTTATTTAGAATTAAATGCGTCTGTTCATGTAGGATATTAAAGGGACAACATGTTAGAGTAAACTGGAATACAGAGAAAGAGAGAGAGAGAGAGAGAGAGAGAGAGAGAGGGAGAGACTTGGGTGTGAAATATAATTAACATTAAACATACATTTCTTTAATATACTATTCAAAAAAAGTAGGGGATATTTGATTTTTAAGTGTTATTAAAGTCACCTAATGAAACTGACGAAGAAACAAATGACAAAATGAAATGAAGTTCACATTCATCGATTTATTCCAAATGATCGTTAGACTAAGTAAGGCACAGACTGACCATTATAAGGGTAAAATGATACCCGGGGTCAAACAGCAAAGTTACCACAGCATCACAACCAAGTCAGTAACGGGTAAATCCTCCTCTGTTTGCCAAACAAGCATTGATCCGACGTGGCATACTCCTAATGAGACGTCTAAGGTCATTTTGGTCCAGATTGTCCCATTCCTGTTGCAACGCAGCAGCAAGTTCTTGGACATTGGCAGGACGTTGTTGACGTTGACGTAACCTCTGTCCAAGCATGTCCCAGACATGCTCGATGGGGGAGAGGTCGGGACTCAGTGCTGGCCAAGGTAATGTGGTGATGTTCTGTTGTTGGAGGTAACCTGTAACGATCCTGGCCCTGTGACATCTTGCGTTGTCATCCTGGAAGATGAAACGGCGGCCATGACGTCGTGCGAACGGCACAACATGGACTGCCAAGATGTTGTCCCGGTAGTACTGGCCTGTAACACGCCCTGCAACAACATGTAAAGCCGTTCTTCCAGCAACAGTGATTCCTCCCCACACCATAACAGAACCACCCCCAAATCGATCATGTCTGATGACGTTAACGTCTTGGAAGCCCTCCTACGTCTGTCCAAAAAATGAACAGTGAACCTTGACTCATCTGAAACCATCACATTGCTCCAGCGTCGATTATCCCAGTGTTGACGATCCCTACACCAACGACGTCTTGCCTGAATGTGATGATCTCTCAAACAAGGGATCACGCGAGGACGTCGGGCGCGAAGGTGACCCCTATGCAGTCGATTCCGAATCGTCTGGCCACTCACTCTCACACCAGTGTCTGTTTCAAGGCGAGCGCTGATCTGATTTGCTGTGATGACACGATTTCTCAAGGCCAAGGTACGGATAAATCGATCCTAGGCTTGAGTTGTCGCCCTTGGTCGACCTGAGCGTGGTCTGTCCTGTACAGATTGTGTATCACGGTATCTGGACCATAGCCTGCTTATGACAGACTGAGAAACATTCATCGTCCGCGCCACAATAGCCTGTGTTGTGCCGATCTGTAGCATGCCAAGGGCACGTAACCTTTCATTTTGGGTAAGCCGACGCATATCAAAATTTGTTTTCTGGTCACTAAAACAATTAAACTGATGTTTCCACCCTGGAATTCAATGCCACAATGACTGTAACATTCAAAGTCAGAGTCGTGCAAATCTTGGGTTGGACCCCCATGATGATCTCAAGCATCACCTGCATTCCATGCGGTAGCTATTGGTGCGTTTGGGCGTCACATGTAACTGGAAATGTTTCTTCTGTTAGGTTCTATAGTGACTTTTTTCGTAGTCATTTGCATATTTTAGTATTATGCCCCCAAAATCAAATATCCCCTACTTTTTTTGAATAGTATAATTTAACAGTATTTAAAGATGGGTTCCCAGAAAAGTATTTATAGGGTGGTTATTTCCAATAAAAAAAGTATGGTAATTTTGGTATATATGGAAAGTAGAGATATCCAATCTTACTAGAAAAATACTGGATTCCCCGAAAAACACGCATGGAGCGTATACAGGACAAAAATGTAAGGGTTCCCCTAATCAACAGCTCGACGATTAGGAATTTCTGCACACGTTATGTCAAAGGTCACACGCGAACATTGAGCGCTTGATGTACAAGTTGATAAACTTTATGAAGAGTTAGACGTACAACACTTTCTGAGATAAAAATGACGGAAAAAGACGTGGGTAGTGGATAATCCGAGAATTTAATTAGGATTCGATATTTGTAATAAATAGTAAGCGATTAAAGACAACATCGTCTTATGTTTGCAATGAATTCTCCTCTGATTTCCAAGAGAGGTAAGTCACATGACGTAAACATGACCTGGTTTGATCAAATTTTTATAGCAGGACATTCCTTCGCAATTACAATGTCTGAGAAGGATTTGAAGCAAAATTATGACAAATTAATTAGTTTAAATATGTTTTTAGTCCATATATACCATTAAATCACCCAGTTTGTACGCGGGAACCCATCATTAATGTCCCTCCTGAAGCACACAGCTCGGTCAAGTTTAATTAAGGCCAGTGCTGTCACAAGCAACTACTTACAGCGGAAGAATTAGGAGAAATAACGTGGTTACTGTTACTTTCCTCATCCAAATCCCTGTCCAAAGATCCCAAAACTCTAGATCACAGATACTGTTAGTACTATCAACCTACCTCTGGTGCCATCCAATATGGTGTTCCTACATGTGTTTTTCTTCGACCTAATTTATCATCTAAATGACCAGATACACCTATATATAATTTACAAGAATATAATTAATATAACCTTTTCAAATCATAACTGAAATCATTGAACAAAGCACTGTATTTATCTTATCATGTTGTTTTGTAGCAATGTGTGATTATCCATTTATGATTGTTACGAACATTTATCATGTTTGCAAATTGATAAATAAGCAACCCCACATTTCTGGATTCATTCAACTTCTTTTATAGAGCTACTTTGTGTAACCAGATTAAAACATTTATGTGCGGAAATTAATTTTGGAAATAAAAACAAGTTATACAGTCTTTTTTAAGTGACACAGGATTATCTGAAAACCAGAATATTTTGTTTATATGGCCTAAATTTCACAACATCATTAAGGATAAAGAAAAAATCAAGATTTTACTTCAGTGAATGGTATTTGTACAAAAAAATAGAAATATAGGGTAAGGCTGAATGGGGATCCCAGCTCATGTAAAATATTGTTACATATATGATATATATGTATATTTTGAAATAATGCCACCCATATAATATTGTAGTTCAAACCATCTTACCAAAATCTAAAAGTTTTACTTTTCCTTTGTCTGTTAATAAAATATTATTTCCTTTAACATCTCGATGCATGACTTTATTGTCATGTAAATACTTTAAAACCTGTAAAATACAACAAAAAACTAATGAAAAAAGTATTTATCTTAAACAATCTCAGGTCTAAGGATAGTAAAAGTTTTGACAAAAAATTAATACAAAATTTTTGAGAAAAAACTGATAATAAAAGCTGATAAAAAATAAAACCTTCATCAGATTGAGACAGCGTAATTGAAAATAAAGTCGGTAGAATAAATTTCTTCCTCTCTGAATTTAGAATTTTTCTTTCAGATTCAATTAATTAATATATGCAGTATGACTTCACCATAACAGTGACATACATTGATATGGTTAGCCCCTTATACAAAAAGGTTCCACTAGAACACTTGCAACTTAAGTTGGCCATAGCCTCATATTGAAATGTGCCTTATAGGAACAGTCCAAAATATATGACTTATAGCTCTTTATGAAAAGATGTACTTTGGCCTTGTTTGTTTTGGGAAATCAGACGATTGAATCCCCCCTTTGCATGCACTCTCTTTAGAATTATAGTTTTTCAAGGGGAGGAACATCACTCCATTCCATGGCATTAAACCTTATGTGCATGGCGATAGTAGTTGATTTCAGTTGGTATCAGAGAACGCTAAAATGTTAATAAAGTGTAGAAATGTTGAAAAGATAAATGATTGATCTTTACGGATGTGTATAAGTTATTGTGTATTATGTCTTTAATCATCCTGACAATTTGTGAAAATGCATGCACAAGTTCCAGGGCTGGGGTAATGGTAATGGATAATGGTAATGGAATGTAATCATTACTTTTTTTAAGTAATGGTCATGTAATGAGTAATGGAAGATTTCAAAAGTAATGGGTAATGGAAATGTAATTAATTACATTCCCAAAATCATGTAATGGTCAATTACATTTCAATTACTTTTCAATTACATTTTATGGCATATATAAATATTTCCAATATGACGAGCCTCAAATTTTATAGCACCAAAGAAGTAATGAAGTGTATCTGACACAAATCCAATTCATTATAATTCTAAAAAAAAGATTTAAATCAGTTTTAAAAAATTATAAGAAAAATAAGAAGGCATTAAACATTTTCTATTATTACTTTTTATGTAGGAACCTTTTTTAGACATGTAACCTAAGAAGTGGATTTCTGATAAGATGTATATTATAATCAAAGATTAGTACTAATTTGCAGCCAGTCACTCAGTCAATCAATCAGTCAGGTAGATTAAAAGACAATAAATAGTCTTACTGCACTTTAATCTTAATCTCAAGGTAACAAGTGACAAACCAAACAATGACCTTTAAGTATCTCATCATTTTATGGTTACTTAAAACTAATATATTTTGTTCTAGAGTCATGCTGAGAAAAACTATTTTTTTAAAAATTACTTAAAAGAAAATACAGTTAATTAACTATAGTTTTGATTCATTTTTCAAGTCATACAGTGAAAATGTCTGTTTTGTCACCACTGCCCGTCACTAAAAAATTTGCCTTGATGTTATAATTGCTAGAAATAATAATTCATAAACAAATATCTATTAAGTGAATCAAGGATTATTTTGATTTTGTAGGTATTCATGGCAGAAAAATAAGGTTGTCTTTTTAATTTCTATGAAAAATGTTTTTTTATTTATATAGTCATGAAGTAATGGGTAATGGTAATTAATTACTTTCAATGTAATGGGTAATGGTAATTAATTACATTGCTAAAAATGAGAAAGTAATTGTAATGATTACATTTAAAATGTAATGGTAATGGTAATGTAATTAATTACATTGGCAATGTAATGGCCCCAGCCCTGTGCACAACTGCTCAATTATTTCCAATAAACAGAGCCTTCAGTTTCTGACCCTCCCTCTGCAGACATTGGGTTTAATGTGTGGACATGTGAGGTAGGAGAACTTCGCCGAGACAGCAGCAGTTAAAGGCTCTTTAATGTGCACACCAATGTGTCCATGGGTGATTTCTTTTTTTCTTTCCAGCACTCCCAAGCACACTTTCCTAGACAGCCTCACGTGAAGGCAGGGCTTGAACAATCTTGACCGTTCAAACGGCCCTCCTGTTACAAAAACTATAATAGGCCGATATTTCAGACTTGTAGTAGTAGTAGTCTATAATATATCATTTTCTATCAACTATATATTTCATCATATTTCTCACCGATAAAGTTTCTTTTAATATATGAGCAATAGTTTTTTCATCCAGCTTCTTTCCCTGCTTTTTTAAATCTTTAGATATATCTGTCACCGCCCCTCCTCCACATAACTTAAAAAATAAAAAATAAACTTACCAGTATATTAATACGATTAACTATTATCAAACAGTATTTTATTTATTCTTTTACAATAAAATAAAAAAAGTTTTGAAAAAGAAAGGCATTGCAATTGTCCTTTAAAGGAGCTGTTTTATATGTCAGAGTATATGCAAATAAAAAACACAAATTATGTGGACAAAAGCTTGAAAATTAATTTAAATCAGAAATGCGTGCTAGACAGGTTTAAGTAACTCATTTAAAGAACTTAACTGTTCTATTGCATGAGAGTGATTTTATAATCAAGACAATCACTATTGTCTAACCACTATAATTTGGCAAGTATAGACATGGTTACCCAGGAGCTTATTTATATGCCCATCCCCAAATGGAAAAAGGAAAGATGTCTTCAAAAGAGCATCATCATAGAGCTTCAGATAGTTACAGTAGTATGATAAAAGACAGAGACTTTCACACACAATTAATCAGTTTTATTCACTAGTAAAATATTTCTGAGACTGTCTCTTTTAATTCATCAATGGACATTATCCCTAAACATAATAGTTTCAGGACATTTTTACGACTAGTATTTAAGATTTTGCTACTATTTTGAATAAAATATTCTAAATGAACACTAGAAACAATTGACTGAAATGTAAGTAAGACTTGACTTGAGGTAACAAAAATGGTTATGACCATATAGACAAGATGATAATAAAATAGTTTACAAAATAGTCTTTTTATAAATCAGACAAAAGAAAGTAATTATACAAACCTCCATGACAAACCATAACTGATCTTCACCTAAATCAACAGTTTTCAAATACAGACCATAAAAATCAGGAATATTTGGATGATGACTGAGATCCCGAAACACAAGATATTCTTCTTCTAATTCTTCTATAACTTCATGCAGAGATTCTAATATTTTTACAGCTGCTATCTGACCTAATTTCAAAAATAAAAAAGTTATCATAATATCAGATTTCTTGTGTACATGGTTTTATTCATGCAGATATTTAGCTTGCAACTGACTTAAACATGGACATAGCAATGGAAAGAAAGTGTAAGACCATTGCTTTCTCTTACTTGAGCCGAAGCTCCGGCTATAGGGCAGCACAGATCCCTATTAACTTTCAGTGTAACTGAGTTAAATATAATCGAAACCAGAAGCAATAATAAACATGTAGTATAGAAAGCATCTTCCTCTTAGCAAAAATATGGTACTACTAGTCATATAGAACATACAAATCATGGGAGAATATTGCAATTTTACACCTCTCAGCAGCTTGGGATGTTTTTACATACTTTTGGATCCTGGAACTGCTTTTTCAATCCTGACACAGGAGTCTATATGTCAATAATGTCATTTGTTATAGACAGTGCTGACAAAGACGACTTGTATCATGTTATTAATGAATATCAGTGCAGCTCTGCTATTTAAACACACAGGTCACTGATAACTGGTTTCATGATAGTTATTCTATCTTTGAAGTTATACAGAGTCTTATATTTTGAAGGAAAATACTATTTTCTAACACCATTTGTACCATCAAATAATAATGACAAATTGAAACAACAACACTTAAACCAAAGGGACTCCCAATATGTCAACCATTCACAACGTTTAACATATTATACATACATTACAGAATGACTAGTTATATTTACCTGTTTCTGGATTTTTAGCCGTGTATACCTCCCCATATGTCCCCTCACCCACAATATCTTGTAATATCCAGACATCTTCTGGATTAGGTAGACTTTTAAACTGTATTATTTTACTGTACTGACTGTACACCTTTAACATGATTCTACTTGATGAACATCATCATACTGCAATAAAAAATACATTAGAATTTAGAACAGTATATGTATTATTTCTATCTGAACTTAACGAAGCTACATGTAACATTTGCATCAAGAGGACTGGAATTTAAGTATCTGGTTATCATTTGAAGGATTTTTAATCCCTAGAAAACGAGAATCATTGAGTCTCTAAAAGGAATATCAGTACTCAACTGATTTGAAAATTTGTCAACTGTCCGCATCCTCTGCAGATGATATCAACAGGATATGGTCAAAACAAGTCAAATGCCACCTAACATGTTTTGATTGGCCTCTTCATATTTTCATTTTCCTTAATTAAATTTTAAATGTTCAATAATCAATTTGAATACATTATGGCAGTGAAAAATTAGATATTGTCTGAAAAATGCAAATAACTCATTAGTGGCTTTACATTCATTTATTTTCTTATACACACTACATACAGTATGCCTAAATACATGTAGATGAATGGTCTTTCAAAATTAATTACAATTATATTTCAGACTAATACGAAAAATAGAAAACTGTACAAAAAATGATATCCCTGTCAGATCCCCAAGTAAAATTCTTCAGCTACCTGGTAACAAAAGTATTTCTAACAGCCCCCACCAAACTCCCTATTTGATTTCAATCTCTCGTAAATAGACAAAAACACATACATGACCACTGCCTTGGCAATCAATTATGACAAACAAAACAGCTAGGATAATATATCACAATAAAATTAAAATAAACATATAAATTTCTCAGACGAAACATTGTAAAATATGCCGGTAAGCTCCACATAAACCAATTCAAATGAAATTACATATAATAATAACTTCAAATTCATGTGTATACATATAATTTAGCAGATCATGCAATTGTATGACATGACTGTTTGTCATCTATGTGTAATTCTATACCTTAAATCAACTTAATTACATATAAAATGGTGTAGAACTCATTTTAATATCACAGACAAGTAAATAAACTGTTGAACCAACGATCCAGCTCTTTAATGATCTGATGCCTTTATCTAAGCCCAAGTGTCACGCAATATCTTTCTTAGATTTTACATTGATTTCTCTTCACGAGATATCGTGGAACCAGAGAATCAGCTTCACAGACACTGATCAATAAAAGTTGACACAATTTCAGCAGACAGACAAATTATACATGAACAGAGGCACACACACAGAGTTTGCACTTGCATACATATTCACATCATCATTTGAATCAATAACTAACTATGTTTTCATAATTGTAATTATCACTGATATGAAAACCTAACTAAAAGTTCAAAAGCAACTTACAGTTAATTTTATAACCGAAATCAGTACTAATAATGAAGAAAATATTCCTGGCTCAGAATTGATGCTAAGCATTTAAGGATTACATTTTTTATATTTTATTCAGATTTGATTAGTTTATCTCTGAGAATGGAAGAAAAAAAGAATGTCAATAAGCTACATTTTGACAAGTAATGAAACATAAGCCAACAACAGCCAAGTCCATAATGATTATAACATTGCATTGTAGTCTTTCTGTGATAATTTTTGGAAAACATCTCCCTGAAGTGATACCATAACAAATTTCCTGTCAAGCAGATGATATATATAATTTTACTTTTAGCCACCACACTGTAGATCAGCCACAAGTAAACAATGGTACATGTATTTATATATCCCCTTAATTTGACTCTTAAATCATGCTGGGGACCATTGTGGGAGTAAAAAAAAAACCTTCAAGCAACAATATTATAAAGTTTTCAAGTTCTCCTGTTGCTGGACAAAAGGGAACGATGCCTATTAATATATCCCCCAGTGAAAATGAATGCAATATATCAAATCATCCCAAAGGAATTGTAGATGGCTGGTTGTATCAGACATTAAAAATATTAATAAAACACAGATAAAAAAAAACCCAATCTATACCAGACAGACAACAGATGAATTGTGCCAAAGACTGAAGGGAGCAACGGTGGCTCAATGAGTAAGACATTGGCTCGGTAACCTGGAGGTCCCGTGTTCGATCCCTGCATTGGTTGAGAAAGTTCATTAGGATTTTCCGGCTCGGTTCCCTCCTGTCAGTTGTGCAGGGGGGCCTGCTATGGGACAACATACATGTATGGTCGTTCGAATGGCACGTAAAAGATCGCTTGGCAGTTGGAATTCAATATAATTATAAGTGTAGACCGTAGCGTCGCTGTCAGAGCAAAGTTTCTGGAACAGAACAGTAGGACGTTAAACCCCATCTCATTTCCAAAGTCTGAATTTATGTCTTACATTGTCTGTGAGAGGTAGCTTATTTCCAGGTTTCAAAAATACTAAATTACATCAACATACATATTAAAGACTTTATACTGCTACCTATATTATAAGAAACATAAACAGAGCAATGACCTCAAGCAATTAACGTCACCTAGATAAATAATGCAGACGATTTAATTTACTGGGAAATGATCACACATAGATCAAACGAAAAATTATAATATAAATAAGTCTCTCAAAGTCAGGAATGGAATTTCAGCAGATATAAAACTTGCATTCTTAAATCAACCATTGTTATATTTCACTAATGTCGCTCCATTACTTGTCCATCAATCAAACACCATAATAAGTATTGATCTTTAATTTATTAAACTCTTTGATTGATCATAAATCAATGATAAATTGTAATCAAAGAGGCATTACCACTTTCAACCAGAAAATAAACATAATTAATTCATTTAATATCATCAAAGTTATACGTCTACGGAATGGAGCAACACCAAACATTGAAGAGTTCTCCACTCTTCCCAACAATAATTTCAATTTTTGCTTAGTAACCCCAGATGCTGTTATACACACGATTAACCAGTGGCTCCCAGGCAAGATATGGCCATATTTTGCAAGAGATGGATAGAGAACAAGCTAAACAAAAAGCAATTTTTCGAACAATCAACCAAGAAACCAAGATCTTTGGGTTATAAACATGTATTTCAAGTTTCATCAAAATCTGATCAAAATTGTGACTTCTAGAGGGTCCACAACCTTGATATACCATACACTATATTATTTACACTATTTGCGTATGAGGGGCGGCCATTTTGTCCAGCAATTTTGGTCCAATTTTCACGAAATTTACAGTGTATCGGTGATATATTCTAACAGTTTTTTAAAACGGAATATACATGTAATTACATGTACATGTATGACCTCTACATGTAGAGGGACCACAAGCTAAAAACATGATTTTTCGTACAATCAAGGGCCATAATTCAGGAAGTTACAATCCGATATATGCAAATATCGAAAGGAACCAACATCTTTGGGTTATAAACATGCATTTCAAGTTTCATCAAAATCAGATGAAAATTGTGACCTCTAGAGTGACCACAAGCTAAAAACGTGATTTTTCGTACAATCAGGGGCCATAATCCATGAAGTTATGGTCCGATATTTGCCAATAATAATATCGAAAGAAACAGAAATCTTTGGGAGATAGACCTATATTAAAATGTGACTTGTAGAGTGTCCACAAACAAATTGTGGACGGACAGGGGCGACGACAATATACGTCCGACATGAAAATGTGGGAATATAAAAACTCTCCTTCAAAGTCATGCTTGCTGGATATTCTACCAGCCAATGTACTTAAAAGACTGTCTCTCTGAACTAGCACCAACACTAGCATGTTTATTTAATTCATCACTTCAATCTGGGATAGTTCCACATGGATTTAAATGTGCTGTAGTAAAACCAGTCTTAAAGAAGGTCGGATTAGAATGGAAAACAACAGAATGGATTCTACTCTTGTATTTCTCACCAAAACATTGTAACGTATTGTGGCTTCTCGGTTGTGTCTGTCTGAACTTGATTTGTTTGGAAAATTTCAGTCCACATATCGCGCTAACCACAGTACTGAGACTTCTTTATTTTTAAAGAGGACCTTAAACCTCATTTCATCTTATTTCTAAGCTCTTGAGGGCAATTAGCAATGAGGCACCTTGATGAATGAGGTTAGACCTCAGTGTCTAAGTGAAATGTTAAACCGTACTTCCGATACATGTAGACTACACCAGTCAGATGCAAGCAACTGCCATTCAAGTTGGACTACCCACCTGTATCGATGAACAAAACTGATTAGAAATTAACAGAAAATGTTAAAAATTGAATGTAAATCAGTTTATATTACATTAATATATATGTGCCTTTTGAACCATTTCATCCATTTTAGGTTCCAAAGAACAAAGATTTTGTTACTTTAAAGTTACTACCAAACATTTTGAGAGATAAAAGGGTTTTGTACAGTACAAGTGTCTCTTTTATTAAGAAAAAGTAAACACATCCTGTTTTATGTGATACTACATGTATGCAAAAAAATGGTGATGTTTAATACCAGAATGCGTTTCAGCACCATTTGTAACAAGTGACTAAAATAACGAGGCTAGATAGATTCCACAAGTCATGTCAAACGGTGACACGGCTAGATCTATTTGTTAAGGCCAACTCAATTTTTATCAAGGTTGCTGAGATGTAAAAAAAGGTCAAAGCACATGATTGTTGGCAAGATCTGGAGAGCATGCACAATAAATACGACTGGTGTAGACTGGAATAACCAGACTCTAGAGATTGCCATTTGATTGAGAATTCTCACGTATTTCGCCAAACATAACTGATTTGAAATTAGAGTATAACAGAAACTATTGAATGTAAATCAGTTTATATACATTCATATTAAATTATAATAATCATACGCGTTGTGACCCATTTGTGTCAATTTCTAGGTGCCAAATATTAGCAATTTAGCTCCTTTCAGGTCATATCTAGTTTTTGGAATATTTTATTGTGAAAATGCTTTTAGTGGTAAGGGTTTAGAACTGTTTATTGTTAAAAATTTCTACTGTCGACTTTCCCTTTTTGTCTACATGAAAGTCGCGTACTTTGATTTTCTGTTCTACACAACATATATTTATGACATCAAACCTCTCCCGTTTTTAAATTCAAGCCTTGCCAATTTTTAACGGTTCAATTTAAAAGACATGATTTGTACCCGTGTCAGGTAGGATTACATGTACAAGTATCTTAATTGTAGTTGGGTGTGGCAGAAATCTAATAAATAACAATAATTAATCGTTGTTTTGCAGAAAAAATTGACAGTTTTTTTTATTGAATTCCAAGGTGATCCACATAGGGATCTTTTAGAATGGACTGTATGGCCAAATCTTATATTCTTAACTAGAGACACACAGGGTTGCGAGATGAGGTTTCTTATATAGCATGTTATTTTGGTATGTGGGTAAATTTCCCTGGACAGCAGTACCTACTCTTTCTTATCTCAAATTTCATTTGTCAATGGTTCTGCTACGTGCACGCCAAACGTATAGCCTAGGCTATACTTTACGGCCTATACAGGTTGGCTACTTCTCTTTTTTTTCTTTTTTTTTACAATTCCGAACTACTTGACGTTGTTCCTTGACAGGCCAGCTTTCATTTTGAATCAATGACAAGGGGAAACCATACTGGAAAATCCCAAAGAACTATCTCGGCCAACAACGGGATCAAACTTATGTTGGATGTACCTCCTGGTTAGGCCAAGGTCTAGTTGATCCACAACTTGAACTATATGAGTAGGCCTACCATGCAATGTACTTCCCTTATTATTTTAGAGCCCAGATTCAGCACTGTCTCTAGTTACTTAAGTAACGAAATATATGAGAGTCCTAGTATAGAGTCCAGGAACACTAGGACTCTCATATATTTCGTTACTAGAGTAACTACACTGTCTCATGACAATGGTTAATAAAAAAGATTTTAAAAATTCAAAGTTACAAGGTTGTACTAAAAACAGAAAGTGAAAACACGCCCTTCAACAATCATACTATTATTTACTATTCAGATGAAAATATGACATTTCTTCATAATCATTGTCAAATTTCGTTAAATTAACCCATCCCAATGAAATGTACCCCAAATTTTTTTTTACCTGGTGTGAAGAGAGACTGTAACTTCTGATTTTATACTGTTGAAGTTAATGAGTAGTGTTTGTCTGTGATTCCACAATAATGAGTTTTTTTCTGGTGTGTAACTACTAATTAAGGGGATTTTAGCATGTACAATTATTGACAGACACTGAAGTTTATGTAAACTAAAAGTGGAAGTTTGTGTACATGATAATGTCAGAAACGCCCTCTTGCGGTACAACTAAAAGCTAGTTAAGGGGAAAGAACTCTTTTTTCTCAAAGCAAAAGAAACTGGGTTCAGACGGACACAGATCCTCAAATATTTCTACGCCTTTTCCCCCCTTTTGCATGGCGATTTTTGTTGACTTTTTGGTGTAGCATGGAAGAAAAGGGTTTGAAAATACATTTTCTGCCAGGTTTTGGTGAATATTCATGATTTTGAGGCGGAAGGATACAAGAGTTGAGAGGTTGGTTATACGTGCACTATCAAAAACTCTATGAATGAGCGAAATGAAATGGGGTTTAACGCACTACTTTTCTTCGCCGAATGGGCCAACGAAGACGGGCATACGCCATGCATGCTCCGGCCTGCTCTTAATATATCGAATTCTAACTGTTAAGGGTTTTTTTTTATGTGTACACGGGACCTCGGTTTTCCGACCACGATAATTACCTCTGTATTTACATGACCACGATAATTACCTCTGTATTTACATGACCACTATACGGGATCTTCTTCTGATCGTATGAGGAGCTGTGACCAGAAGGTGGGGGGGGGGGGGCATGCACAAGGAGCAACCCCCGTTACGATTGTATGCTTAATTGTAGTTGCATGATATTATAACTATATTGTATAATTCTAATCCCGAAACTTACAGAGGGTCGAGAAATGAGACCTTTAGGTACTGGTGGTAGCGAGCCACCGATTATGACTAGCGAAACAACACTAGCGGGTAGGGATGGCTAGGGGTGTAAAATATGCTAACTTGTAGAGAGAATGCTCCGCTGTATCAGTGTGCTATTATATTGTTCATGGTCTATTTTAAGTTTACTCTTTGTCAATATCAACAAACAATTCAGCTCTGTACAAATCAATTTCTTTACGGCAACACCATGAATTTAAAGTCAAACATTTAAACCTTTTCATATAATTTCAACTTCGCCTAATTCTCTTTATTTATTTCAACCAAATCTGATAGACGGGTGGCGTAGATGGCGCTAATTCAGATTGGTGTTCACCAGTTCCGTGGGGAAGGGCGGGCAACTCGAGATCACCATTAGGGGGACCATTTTGACATTTTAATAAATACAAATAAATATTCAATAAAAATATATTAATTGATTAATTACATGAGACATAACAATTTGATAAATAATAGTGGTCTTTACAAAAATCTATTTAAAAATATATTCTGCTAACATTAATGTTTATCATCAATCATTATGTGAACATTACAAGGTTTTGTGATGGCATTTAATGCGTAATTTACATCTTAAGGCCTTGTAAAAACGAAAAAGAAAACGACTTTCATCTTCAACAATGTTTTGCTTACAAATACAAGGGCTGGTTGAAAAGTTCTAAGTTTGAAAAGGATAGATCAATTGGGTTGAAACAAACTTTTGCCACCACCAACAAGTACAATCATTGAATGAATCATAGACATAATAACTGTAACTAGTGTTATTATTGTCTTCGTACCTGGCCATCTTGTGAACCTACCCATAGAAATCACTAGAAATGGACAAAACTGGTTATATGGCAGTCATCAAGTATCTGCAACTGAATGGACTAAGCCCAACACAGATACATGCCGTCATGGTCCCATGCACTTCACGGGATGATACCCCTTCCCTTTCCACAGTAAAGAAGCGGGCTGTGGAATTTAAGCGTGGCAGAGAGAGTCTGCGATATCACCTCGGTGGAAGCGGACGTAAAATACAACTAACTCACACACAGTCTTGACAATGAAGTGGGTCCTGGAAGGCCATAAACAGCAGCCATTCAAGGAAACATTATCCGGGTGCAGGACATGGTGATGGCTGATCGACGATTGACCACTCGACATATCGACATAAATTACAAACATGAAAAGAATCCAAAAGTAAAATCAGAGATTCTGAATATATGAAACAAACTGGAACTTGTTGATGTCTTGTTATCTGTTCATCCGCCATCAAATTATTATATACTTGGAAAAAGAAAAACTTTTTAAAAAGTGATGCTTATTCGATTTGTTCTTGAAGAGGGAAAATTTGATGCCATTTATCTCGAATTTCGGGGTTTGACATGTAGAACAGACGGCTCAGATGTTAATATAAAATAAGTAACAATAAAACCGCTAAATAATATTGGAATTTAACAAAATATCTCTTTTATGATAAAAACTTTATTGAAATAGTACAAGAAAATATAAATTATATAACACAATATATGCATTAAGCCCACATGATCTGATTGTTAGATAAACTGCAATTCATAACCCACAGTTCACTATTGATGATCAAACATTACTTGAAATCCTCTTTAACACTTAAAGGATGAAATAATCGTATTTTCTTCCTAGAAAATGAAGAACAAACTGAAAAAAAAACGATTCTTAAGAGATTTTAACGTCCGTTCAACAGTATTTCGAGACTAACACAAGGTACATTTTGTTATTTCAATAATTCGCTCGCGCATATGGGGGGGGGGGGGGTCTTTAGTAGCCGGACGAAACCGGAGGCTCAAGTTGGTTTAAAAACACGTGATCAAAAACCTCTTCGATATTTCGTCGCTTGGCTCCAAATCGAAACATGTTTTCTCAATGCCGATATTCAAACAACGACGTCAGGCTAACTAAACAAATAACTTTATATTGCTGACTTACTAAATAGGTAGCTTAAGCGGTTATACGATATGACGAGACTCGTCCACGGAACAGGGTATGACATTTGTTTTTAGAACGCATCGTTTAGTTGCAAAGTTGTCATACACGGAAAGTTCGCATAGCTAAGAAACATAACTGTGTCTGTGTATATCGGATGATTAATTAATTATAACATTTTCCACGACAATCTACAGCAGTTCTCTACTTAAGATGGTAAGTACACATTCCTTCATTTTATTTATTTAGCTAGGGTTATTTGGGGTCAGAATGAAATTCTATTTTGACAATGTGCCTATTTTTGGAATTTTTATGTCCAAATATAACTATGATTTATATTTTGATACATTCTAGAAACTTTATACATAGCCTTGGAACTGATATATCTATATAATCTTTTTGTGTTCCAATTTAAGATATTTACACGCATGCTTTAACACGAATGACAGATCTACCAGTAATTGTGTTGGTCTAGAAACCGCTTTTCTATTAAAAGTGCAATAAACCTCTACATAAAACCATAATATGGAAATTTAAAAGGTCTTATTTGGCTTGTATAGACTGTAATTTATAGACGTAGTCTCAAATTTACAGGATGGAGGCGAATGGTTGAACGCATGCCGTTTAGTTGGTAAGGTATGTCATTGAATTAAATGACTTTGGTTGTACGTCTCAACGAGTACGGTGGCCTGTCAAACCTCGTGGGTTTTCTCCGGCTCCACCGTTTTTCTCTAACTGCTAAAACCTCCTACGAGCAAGCCGATAATTGTAATAAAATTGAATCATGTGTTAGTCCCAAAATGATTCAGTTTGTGTCGAGTGCGCGTTAAATTCTCTATATATATTCCTGTAACGTTTGGTTCAAATCCATTGAATAACTTAAGGGGTATGGTCGCTGAAGTTCGGAGGGGTGGAATTTTGAAATAACATCGGTTTCCAACAGATTGTTGAGCCTCTTCAGCAGAAGATCGTGTTAAAGTTCGATATCCATAGGATTACAACTGTAGGAGGAAACAAGACCCTTACACTTTACTATGGCTGGTATTTAAAATGAAATAAAATAAATGAGACTTAATGTCCTACTTTCTACATCGATTGTTATGAGGGAAATTTTGCCTGCACATCGGTGCTATGGTCTACTTATATTGAATTCCAACTGTCAAAAGTTCTTTTACACGGGAATAGACACTGTCCTGACTAGGCCCTCCGTCTATACCAGGGTACAATACGCTGAAAAATCCCGGGGCACTTTCTCGAACGGCACGGGGATCGCCCCCCCCCCCCCTGGTTAGCGAGCCAGTGCCGTGCTCACTGACGCCGGTTATAAGACTATATAAGGCCTAGTGGTCTAGAGTGTCGCGCTTTGACCTCTAGCTGACCGGTCACCTCTGGCTTGCAGTTGTGGTTTCGATCCTGTGACTTGGAGATAGGGGCGCCTTCTCAACCTCGTGGGTTTACCCCGGGTACCCCGGTTTCCTCCCACAGGAAAGAGCCCTGCGCGTGCGCTAAGGTAATAAAGATGAAAATAACTTGTCTGTGATATCACCTTCGGTGGAAGCGGACATTAAACACTAAAAACAACAGCAATTCCCTAATCTTTTATCATAGCAACACACTTCCCGATGTATTCGTTAATTCATGTCCGTATTGTAACAGAGGGGGGGAAACAATAACTTCCACAAGTTAATTTTGGCCACACCACGGTGGAAACGAAAAGTGTGCATTTCTAATAAAAGATACAAGAATTAAAGAGTTTTATACACTAAAATACCTAGGTGAGCTCTATTAATGCAAACGTTATATTAAACAAATCGAGCCGTAAATCGCTTATGGATCTTTCATCTGTATATACATACATAGCATAATTCGTATTGTTGTATGACAGTCCAACTATGATTAGAGCAGGATGGGGGCTGAATAAGGATATCTATTAGATATATCCACTTACCTGACCTATTTACCTTCACACTATGTTTTTTTTTTATTCATTTATCTATTTTATCTTTAAGATCAGACCGTGCTTTCTTGTCGCGTCTATACTGCTTCGCATTGAATGTGTATTCCGCTTTGTATTTCATCGTAATAAATGATATCCTATTTAAATATCCGGTATCCAAAATGATCAAATGCATACCTACCCAATTGAATATCAGCAGAGCATTTCGTTGATTAAGTCAATCTTTAGAAACCGATTTCAAGGTTTTTATTTATTTTCCCCCTTTTTTCTAGCAGTTAAACCTAATGGTTAAACACATACGTGTTCTGGAAAATTGGATTGTTCACAATGATTAATATCCGGTCTGAGAATTTATTCAACCAAGTTCAAGACGTAGAAGGTGGATCAATATCAGGGATATTTGTTTACTTTTAAAACAATATGATTAGACTTGTAACCTTTACCGTTAAGTAATATCCATTCATGGTGCCTATTTTACGCGACACATCAACATATATTTAACTAATTGATTCTAACTATTAAGAGAGATGACTCATTTGTTTCTATATTGTAACTATTAAAGAAGGTGGTCCATTTGATTTCATATTTTAACTATTGAAGGAGATGACACATTTGTTTATATATCTTACAGCAGCTGGGAACCCGCTTACATTCTACATTACCCCCGTAGTAATTATAAGAGACGATACAGCATTAATTCTAAACAAAAACGCTAAACTGGTGTGACAATTCAAAATGCTAAAGTGGGAAGCAATACCCTTTCCAATTTAACATAATAACAAGAACGTAAATATTCAGACCTTCCAGAAAGAGTAAGCATTACATGTCTTGTACAATATATACAACAACGTTTGTAGCTCCGAGTACAGAACTGGCCAGAATTTATGATGGCTATATAATGCCCCAACAATATTCGTGAAGTTATTGTTATTTGGCCCAATATGCTTTTTAGTATAGCTTCATTTTATCGTAGTCTAAAAGTCTATCTTTACCATTTATTCTTGAATATTGAACCTTTTAAAACGTGTGTGCGAATAAAGCTATTGGGCTCAAAGTTGTTTTAAGAAAGACTCTTTAATCGTAGTCTGGAAGGGTATATTTGAAGTCTATTTATTATACAGTGTTATCTGCCAATTTCAATTCAAATCTGAACAATATTGTTCCCACTAGCAAACATTTTTTAAAATCATTTTTGACATTATATTCCCATGCTCTGTTTGTTGCCATAATTACATGTATACATCTTAATCTATTAATATATTATTATTTGATGTACATTAAACATTACTTTTAATTAGCAAATACTAATGTATAAACTACAAAAATATCGATGTAAGTAGTAACTAATTGTTAACCCATACTATTATACGAATAATAATATATACAAAAAGTATAAGTATAAGGAAGGGCCACAATGCTATAATTAGAGCTAACCAAAACAAGATCTGGCATGACGTCATTTCATTTTCGGGTTCATTTTCTGTCTCATATACTACCACGTTTCCATATTCTACCATGGTTCCATGAGGCATGCCAACCCTTCCTAGTCGACGATTATGAGGGTTATCAGCATAGCTGCGGTAAGATGGAAATCTAATGTAGTTCAACCAGTACCGTGTACGAGGTTGAGCTTGAACAGTGCGGTTATATGGATAAGGGTCGCTCCACCAGTAATCTGTGCGAGGTTGAATATCTGCAACAATACAAGAGAATTTTAATAGTATCATATAGGTTCGCTTTAGTTTTTATATTTTACGTTGACATTTTATTGCTTTAAATTTTTCTAGTGCAAAAACGGCAAATTTCACCTTTTGACCTCCAGGGTCACTAAGACTAAAGGTGAATTTAGCAAGTTTACTTTCGATCATTTTCAGCTTCTTTTCATGATACAAGAATGCCTGCGCATTCACTTTCAGTGCAAATGAACTCATTTGACCTTCGACCCCGAATATCTCGAAAACGCCCCAACGGCGGACTAGTTACCTCTCGGCATCGTATTCTACGCAAAATTTTACTCTGGGTCTGGTTTTGTGCCCATTTGATGGACCCCCCCCCCCCGCGCTGAGCCTCGGGTTTATTATATCGAATTCCAACTGGCAAGGGAACTTTTACGTGCACGCCAATGTGTACAAATGACCTCAGTTTTTAGTACCATCTGAACGACTATTCTCTGCCCTCGGTCCTGCACCACTGATAAGGAAGAACCACGCCGGAAAATCCCTATAAATTTGCTCGGCCAACTCAGGGATCGAACAGGGTACATGTACCTCCAGGTTACCGAGCTGTCTTACTGACTTAACCACCATGGCTTCCAAATCTTAGATCTAACCTACCGAATCCTGCATGGATTCAGCTGACGTGGAAATCATTCCACAACACAACAAGCATTACACTTGTGTACATGTATAATAGACCAAAAGACAGGTGGAGTTTACATTCTCAATTACAACTGGGCTTGTTAACAAGGGCCTAACTTCAACAATCGTATTCATTTTGCAAACATTGGTTTTCGCTGCTTCTATTCTGATCTTTGACGTTTCACCCAGACACCGGAAGTCAATCGGATATTAACTTTTGTTTCTAGAGCGCCCACGAGATATTTTAAATTGATCAAGGACCATAACTATGACAGTAGTAATCGGAAATCGTTGACAATCAATATAATTCTTCGTCTCGTGACCTTGAAAACTGTGTATAAATTCAAAGTCAATATGATTTTAACTTTGTCCTCTAGACCGTCCGCGCGAAAACGTGGACACCATACGGACAGAGGGGACGGCGACAATATATGACCAATATGTCAATGTGGGTGTATAAAAATTAATGAATTTACAGACACGAACCATGTATGGTGTGCTACCAACACCAGCAAAGCAACTCTCCCTAGATGGAATCTTGTAGAAACACTAGAATATGTGTCCCCTATGTGGAAAGAGAGGAACCCTACAGTATATTTTATCCTCTTGTCAGCTGGCTTTATCACAGGGGAGATACACGTGGCGTCACAACCAGGTTCCACGGGAGTTGGCAGACACTTTCGAAAAGGAGCGGAAGAACAAGGCAAAACAACCAAAGGCAAAACCTACACAAATCCATTTTTCTGTGGGAGGGTGAAACATCAAACAGAAGAGAAGAAAAACCTTTTGGAATTCTTAACCATGCAGGAGACTGGAAGCCGGCCATAGATCTTGACGAGAAACTGACATTCCCTGAGATAGTCCCAACCAATCTCAGGCCAGATATGGTTCACCCTCTCACAGAAAATGGATAATACACAGTACACGCTACATTTTCTCAAATCTTCAAAAATTCTTCGCACATAATAAAGTAATTAACTGGACTGAACATATCAATATACATGTATTCATGTTTCATTAGCGTAGGTTTATTGTAACAACAACCGCCAGCTCATTATCCAATTTGTATATAATGCGTCTTTAAATTTTTCGTAACAGGGTAACGTTTTAGTACTCTGTCAATGAATGTGTATGTGTGCGTGAAATAGCTTTATTTAATATCCGATTCCACCGAAGTGATATCGCAGACAAATATAAATGTGCTGGCCTTTGTCTTAGTAGAAGTTTTGAATTAGTTGGTTTATAGTTTTAGCATTAAGCTAAAATAAATTACTATAAATGTTTTGGGTATCTCTGATATTGTATGGACTCGGAAATATATTGTCCAGGTATGTCGTTATTTTAATCGTGGAAATGTTTATATGGGTTTAGTTCTTAATATTGCTAGCATACTTGAAACGATAACCCGGTGGAATTTTCCAGTTCCAAAGGTAGTCTTTTTCTGAAGGGGGGGTGGGGTGAATGGTTAACGCGTGCGCGTTGGATTATAAGGTCTGTCATCGTATCAAGTGGCGTGGTTGTGATTTCCCGCATGTACGTGACAAGGAGTAAGGTCGCCTGTCCATCCTCATGGGTTTTCTCCGGTTTTCTTCCACTGCTAAAGACCCCTACGCGCAATTGAAATAAAATTGAACCATATGTAAATCCCGAAATGACCTAGTTTGTGTCGAGTGGACGTTAAACCCCAAGTATATATATATCGGCCTTGTCGGTGCTTCTTTGGGCCAAAAGCCGACAGCGGGCGCGTCTATAGTACGACAGCAGTTTCTATGGGGAGGATGCATGGAAATACCGACAGGTTCCGACGCCCTATCGGTCGGGCATAAAGCACCTGTAATCGATCCGATAGGCATCTCAACATGTGGGTGCGGACGCGTTTTTTGGATTTGGACGAATTGAGAGTGTTACGGCCTCGAGTGAACCCATTTGAGGACTTTGCAGATAAACATTCTTTTCGTTAATACAGATTGCCAAGCCAATATTCGGAGAGTTTTACAAGCCGACAGCGAGCGCATACAAAGTCCGACAGCAGTCGGCGCCGCATTTATTAGCTATTTTGACTTGACTTGGGCTTCTTAGTGTTGAATGATGAAATTGTCTACGCGATTATGCACAGCGATTATACACAAATGCCTATTATTGAGGACCCTAGTATACCGTTAGCCCGACTCCGACTAACTATCGCCCGATAGCGTCCCGACAATCGCTGTCGTTTGCGTTAATGGCAGAGTTTCTAGGCGGCCGCCGCAGGTGATCTGCGATTCTTCGTCTTAGTTGGTTATTCGTAAGGGTAGTTAAGGTAAAACTAAATTACATGCAAGCATCTTTACCAGCTGTTCACACAATGGCTCTTTTCCACAAACGGGTAAACTATAAAATTTTTAAACATCCCATTTCGTTGTTTGATTAGCTGACTTTCCTTATTTATTCAGCGTAAATTTTAATTCTATTTCATTTAATCTCTATTATTAAGACAAAAAATGTCTTCTTCATTGACGCTTTACTTGTTTAGCATGAACACATTTAGAATTTTGACAACCGGTCCGATCTATATATTAAGACCATCTGCAGATTTCGTCAAGGTCACGAGATGTAAACAAGGTTAGGGCAAGTGATTCTTGCCGAGGATTGTGGGTTAGATTTGTGCTTGTCTGAAGTTGTACTTTTTAATGGACACTGACTTAAAAACCTGGGCCGTAATCAAACGTTTTCTTAAAGTTAAGTGAAAATACTTCAATTTTTCACTTAATCAAGTGTGTTCCCTTAAATCGGCATTCGAAGGCTATATTTTACATATCCTTGGCTATCTGAAAAACTTAACTGCACACTTAACTTAATGCCGGCAAACGCCAAAAAGCAAGAATTTCTAACTAATGGAATACCCTCCATGCATCGCTTGCCGGAACTATTGTTTCGGTAGTTTTTTATTTTAAACGGCAGTTACCAAATAGTGGTGGTATAATGTCATGTTCCTGCGTTGTTAGACGGTTTGTAATTCCCTAACTTACAGCTACGTTACCCCCCTTTAACGCAGATACGTGAACGATAGCATCCAATCAGAGGTTGTGACACAAACACACTCGAATCAAACATGGCGACCACCACGGAAACCTTGACATTGAACGAACCTTGAACTTTGCAATTGGTATTCGCGATGATCGAGGAATCTGATAGGCTTCCCAGTTGGGTTAGTAGCCAATCGAAATTAGTGCCGAAATATGCAGGGTATTACGTGAAGGGCTTGCTATGATGTGCGGAGTTAAAGCGAGATCAAGCCTTCTATTGAAGATGGTATAATATCGGATATTGTAAACATTTATTATTCTAACAAGTAACAATGTGTAGGGAATAGAAATCAACATTTTCGTCTTTATACCAACAGGGCCCACAAAATGCCCTTTTGCTCTTAAGTTAGATTGAACAAATTATTCAGCGTTCTTTATCAATCTGATATTTTTGTAATTCATTAAAATTCTTTCAGTGCCTACAATTTATAATCCCAAATGCGTGGAGTTGACTGTACATTACGAGTACTAAATAAGGACGAAAGATGCAAGAGGCGTTATTTTCTACCTGGATATGATTTTTAAAAAGCATTTAACGCATCAAACTTTGTTATGTGACAGTCTTGGAGCAATACGAACATGCTAAATGATCAGAAAGAAATATATGGACATTTCGGTGGTAGTAACCTTATACACCATCAAAGCTGATGATGAAGCAAACAAATTGAGCCAGCTACGCTGTCTTTGTTTTAATCTCAGTCCCCATACTTTTAAAACCGATACGATAAAAAAAAACACAGTCTCGATTATCCATTTCTTCGGTATATTTCCATATAAGGGTGGGTTTCGGCGTCATTAGCATAAATTGACCAATGTCTTTGATTATTTAAATCATATTTGACCAATTGGATAATTGAACGTCAAAACCCAAGCTACAAAACTATCATATTTGTGAGCAATCGTCAGACAACAGCCAGATTCTGGAAGGGAAAAGATGTAACAATTTCTATCAGCAGACTCGCCCATCGAGTCTGGCTGGATGAGGTTTGAGAGAATGACTTTATTCTATTATGCGTTGTACCATATGTAAGCAGCTATAAAATGTAAAAACGAACTGTTGCATTGTTATTACTGGTAAGACACACGTCTTAAGAAAACAGTAAGAAGTAAATACACAACGTGAAGGGGAAGCAAAGACAGCTAGAGACAAAGTCTAGACGATCACAAGGCTACTAAAATATGTAGTAAGAAAAGATGCATGGGCAGTACGTAGGATGTGACGACCGGAATCAATGACCCGCTCTCCACGTCTGACAGAAGACCCATGGTGCTACATATGGTCTGGATAAGTTAATAAATGTCTAATTAATAATTTAGATAACATTTCAGACCTAAAAAAAGACCAGCAATAGGCAGATTTAGCTCTTGCATAATGTATGTTTAACTTTAAGGTATCTCCCATACGTCACTTAACGTTAAGCGGTTGGGGGTTGGCCTCTTTTTTTCGTAAACTGAGTGATCTAAAAGTAAATGAAGTATAAGCTACACATGAGGACTGTACGCACTGACCTGTAAAACTCACAGAACTATATTCAATGAGGCTGAGGGTAATATAAAAGTAGGGGTATACTAAGCGAATACAGGCCCTGAATTACATCGTTACATTGGAAGCTATAATACATACCATTCATAGTTTAAGTCTGCACAAGTCGTAGATCAACCCGAAAATGGCGATTAAATAAGTCTTATTCTTGGAAATACAACCGTAGACGCAATTAGATAAGTCTTATTCTTGAAAATACAACCGTTTAAACCAATCCAAACAAATAGCACTGTTATTCTTGGAAATACAATCGTTTAGACCAATCCACACAAACAGCACTGCAAAAATTGGGTGCAATTAAAAAACACTAAAAACGGTGTACAATTTACAACACAGATTGCGTTTTTAAAACGCGAGCCCCCCACACGTTTAAAAAATTAAAAGATACACACCAAACACATATATCCGACTACTGATTGTTGTAGACGCTATTTAAATGGTATCTTGAATGAGCTGCACACATCTTGAAGTGTTATACTGCATTTACTCCAAATAGTGTTTTTAATAGGCAAACATTTATAATACAGTGTCAGTTTTACACCGTATGTGGCAAGGAATAGCGTCTAGTCGTTCGGGCAGAATGAAAGCCCGAGGTAAAGTGTACACGTTTGTGTAAACGTAAAAGAAGAGCCCTTGACTCTTGAAATTCGATTCCTTTCCGGACAAAATGGCGTTAATAATTTGTACCTCAATTTTAATTTATTTTAGAGTGTTTTAACATTACATTAGATTGTTAAATAAACAAAGTTATCTAGATAGTATATTTACATATAGTAATATAAGACCATAATGACCCGACATGGACACAAAGATTGGTAGGTACATACTACATGTATTTATAACGGGATATAACGTTTATATTTATAACCTTTATATTTACTGATTTATTTATTTAAAGCAAAAATATGCATTTTACCGCTATTGTGTACTAATTGAATTGAATTGAATTGAATTTAATGGCGTTGAACACAATCATTAAGTTGGATTTAGCGATTGAGGAACATATTAAACAGAACACAATTTTTATGTGACGCCAATCAGTGGTTTTATCATAAAAGCACGACTAGTATCCTCATATCGTTATCAAGCACACTGCATTTAGTAAAGATCTTTTAGAGGCATTTAGTAACTGGATAGAGCAATAAACTACAACACATACTTATGGAAGAACAATTACTGATTTATTTGGGCGACGTTTCGAAGAGTATTCTCTCAACGTTTTCAAGCAAGTACAGTAACAAGTGTGTAGACCACCTTATGCCAGGGCAACCATCAAGACACACAAAAACCCCATCAAAGCTAGATTATTAGTTTGTTCCCGTGACTCAGCTTATTATAACACCTCACAACACTTATCAAGACTGCTGTCCCCATTAGGCAAAGAAGCATTAAAGATTCAAAAGACTTTTGCAACAAATTACAAAACCAACCCAATGATGTACAGATCTTATCTTATGATGTTATTGACTTATTCACCAATATTCCCCGTGAAGATGCCATAACAGTACTCCGACAGAGACTAAACAACTTAGAAACTCCATTAGAAACGAGTTTAACAGTCGAAGACATCATAGAACTAACCAAAGCATGCATCGAATCCACATACTTCGCATGGGGAGATGATTTTTATGAACAGACACATGGTTTACCAATGGGAAGTCCAGTGCTTACCGAGATTTATTTGACAAACTTTGAAGAGGTGGCCCTGTCAAGATCACCTGTCCAGCCGATAGCTTGGTTTCGAAAAGTAGATGATACTTTCGTAATCCTTGACCAAAATGATGATCCAGACACCCTTCTCCAGCATTTAAACAACCAGAATAATAGAATTAAGTTCACTATTGAAAAAGAAAATAACCAGTGCCTACCCTTCTTAGACGTCCTTGTTACTAAAACAGACACATGACTCACCACTAGTGTATACAGAAAACCTACCCATACCGACCAGTATATCCATTATGATTCGAACCACCCACATAGTGTCAAAAAGTCAACCATAACTACCCTAGCCCGTCGAGCCATCAATATATGTGACGACATCTCCCTCCCCAGTGAACTCACCCATATAGAAAGCATACTCTCTAATTTGAACGGATATCCGCCCCAGTTAGTAAAGAATACCATAAAAGAAACAAAAAAGAAAACCGTTGCTGAACAGCCCAAGCCAGATAAACCACCCATACGGATAACCATCCCGTTTCAAGGAACGTTATCGTACCACATCCGAAGGCTACTCGCAACGACAGGCATCCAAGTCATTTTTTCCAAAGGTCGCACGCTTAAAGACCACCTGAAAGCGAATGGTAAACTGCAACCCACCATTCCACTGCCACCTAAAGGATGTGTCTATGAAGTTATGTGCTCGTGTGATATGACATACATTGGTGAAACTCGACAACCCCTACCTAAAAGACTCGCCCAGCATAACTCAAGGTCCCCCACAGCAGAATCAGCAGTTGCCCAGCACCTCCAGTCCAATCCAGGCCACAAAATCCAGTCGTCTAAGACCCTAGCCCTCAACCAACACAACGAAAAGACGCGGAAAATCATGGAAGCAATACACATCAGGAGATCCAAACCAGACCTCAATCGCGACACAGGAATATTCCTCCCAAGAGCCTATGATGAACTAATTCTTAACTAATGTGTACATGCCTAGACTTCCATACGTGCTTAAGTTACTTAGTTCGCGTATCATGTGTATTACTTGTTTATTCTCGTTATCCATTTGTAGAACTAATTTTAATAAGTGTGTGTCTCAAATGGGAACGAGTGTGCAGGACATAATTACTTAGAAGCCTGTGGATAGGACTGTGGTGAGGCTTTCCAATATTACAATTTACCACTTATTTATGGTCATTTATGTAATTATCCTTTGTAAACAGTTAAGTGTCTCTTGTACTTATCCTAGGAATAAATGTATGTGTGAGTCTGTCGGAAGGAAGAATGTTGGACTATCATTAGTTGTGCTATGTTGTGTGCATTTTAATACTAATATTTTGTAATTCACTTAAATATGGCTTAACCATTTAATCCCTATGTAGCTCACTACTCCTCTGATGTTTTCGTAACATGTATGGCTTCCCTTTTGTTTGGTTTAATGGTATGTTTACCCCTATTATCAGTCCTTTATTATTCCCTTGATGTACCCTCACCTAGCCAATCACATCATGTATGGTTTCTCATTTGTCATGATTGGTTGTCCAATTAAAATTATTTACCCCTATAATCCGTCATATGTATATTGCCTTTGATCATGTTGTTTTTTAATCCTTTGATCTTGTTGTTGTCATGCATGGTTTCTGAATTGTTGTTATTGCTTGTCTATATATAATTGCTCTACACACTTGTTACTGTACTTGCTTGAAAACGCTGAGAGAATACTCTTCGAAACGTCGCCCAAATAAATCAGTAATTGTTCTTCCATAAGTATGTGTTATAGTTTATTGCATTTAGTAAACTTGAGGTCAATATATATGACATTCATGGAGAAGATTAATAATAACAGTAACAATAAAAGAGCATTGACATCAAAATAGATAGCTACAAAATGTCGAGACATGATCGACCGTGAAAAGTAGCGGCTAGTGGACTTGCCATCTATGTCAATGGTCAATGACGCTATCCCTTTGACAGCTTGAAAGTAAGTCAAACAAATGGCAGTCAACATTGTCATCTTCTACTGCTCAACGACAATTAAGGTGGACCATAATTTGCGGGAGAAAAGTGTAAGTAAGGGACTCATATAGACCTGGCATTGGTATCATCAAAACTGTTCCCGTAGTAATGGAATTGGGAAATAGCGGATGAAACACTAGGTAACGATCACTTTTAGATTTAAACAATTTTTTATTCATAAACGAATGGGATTGAGCAACAATCTTTAAACCTATATCAGCTTTCCATGGATCACTTAGTCCTCCAGACCACTTTAGTTTTCAAAGCAAACATAGAAAGCACAAAATGCCGAGCTATAAGGTGGAACATGGAGAAGTCCGACTGGAAACTAAATTAAAACTTCATGCAATATTTGGGATCTAGAGGAAATAAATAAATTTACTAGGGTCACAATCAGCGCAGCAGATCAACCAATCCCCGGATAGATAAAAAAAACTAGTAGACACTCGCAAATCACTCCTGCAAAGATACAAACGCAGGCCGAACGAAGACTCCAGATCAGACTATCTTGAAGCCAAGCCTTTCGCGGAATGCCTTATCAGTCAGGCCAAAGAGGAAAAGCTTCTGTAGTTCCCTAAACGATCGAACGAGCATGGAAACAGCATGGAAACAGCATGGAACCAGTTCAGGCATTAAGGGAAAAAGGGTAAGACAAAATATAACTTTCTTAAATATAAAAAATGAAACTGCCCTAAACAATACCCACAGGGCAAACTTGCTAGAACCGATAAATGCGGACAAGTATGGTTCACGCGAATGAGTTATAGGAAAATCATCAGGCCAATGACATGCGGGTAAACGTCAAATGATATAGTAGATAATCACAATCTGAAAGGAACGATTATTGAGACTAGATCCCTCCCGTAGCCCGTACGCAACAACCCTCGACTATCTCAAAATTTACACGGATGGAGCAAAATATTCTACAAAAGGAGCAACAGGCTATGACATATTATGGACCGTATACATTGCCAAAGCAAAGCTGAAATTCTGGAAAAAGGTTAACAGAACATTGTTCTGTGTACACCGCAGAACTGATGGCCATTAAAACTGCAATAGAATGGCTAGCCACGCAGACCCACAAAAAGTCATAATCCTATCTGATTCCCTGAGTAACATCAAATCTACAGATTCGAACTCTTCCAAAAGCAGACAGGACGTAATTCACAAAACACGAAAGCCGGTGGAAGGGGGTGGTCCTTGCATGTGCTTTTAGAATAAACCAGTGATTGATATCTCATAAAAATTATGTTCTGTGTGTTGTGAACGGCGGGGAAACATTGAGAAATAATTAGAATTAGAGGTGGTCGATGATTTTCAAGGGGACTATATAGGGGTTTGTATTCAATTAAATTCCTTAAACAACTGAGTGATAACGCTAAAACATAATATAGGCTATATAATATGGAAAAAATACAACATTTTCTCAACAATGACCGTTTTTATTTCCATGCTTGAATTAATTTTGGGCATGGAATAGTGACACCACTTTGCCACAACACCTGAAATGGCTGGCATAGTGGCGTGGGTCGTGTCCTCAAAAAGACATTTACAGCAGCTTTAATGTCTATATGTTATGATCTATAGTATATAGTATGGTATATTAAAATCCAACATACTGTGTTTCAAATAAAATATTTAAGAAATAATGAAGCAAATGTATAAGGCAAGATTGTGCAGCTACGGGCTTTATAAATCAAAACAAACGAAAATCAAAGTCGCTAGAAGATGTCCAGATAAACAAACTCGAACCATCAAAATATATATATCACAACGGAATTAAAGGTTATCAAAGTTTTTCACATGTTTTGTAAACAATAGGCCACTTTGTTTCAGTAACAACTTTTACTAATCACCGACAAAAAAGTTTTTTGTCAATATCGCTAAAAGTTTTGCGAAAAGACTCCCTTCCAGTAGACCTAATTAATCTTCCTCAAATGTCAGAATAATTGGGTCTGTTGGGTATAATGTTTTGTGGTAACAAATATATTTTCTATGGTAGTTTGGATATATATTGTATGTTTATGTTTTGTTGAGGAAGTATCGATAATAGGTCCACTTGTTTACTATGTTTTCAGATTCTTATGTTCCGGAAAGAGATTCCATGGAAAACGATCCAAAAGTTTTAGAACCTTTTGATTATACCCGTAGACCTCCAGAAAATGACCATTATCAGGGAGCAGGAATTAGACCAGTGCCAGTTCTTAAACATGATTATAGCTTACCATTTTCTCAAACCCCACAAGGTATATGGGTCTAGATATAAATGTAGTCTTGATAAAAATAAAAATAATAATATAGGTAAATATTCCCGGATTGGGGAGCCACAGTGGTTTAATGAGGTCCCGCGTTTGATTTCAGTGTTGGCCAAGTAAGATCCTCTGGAATGTTCAACGTGGTTTCTATTGTCAGTGGTACAGGGCGGATGTTCTGGCAATAAAAAGTGTTGATGTGTAATAAAAAGAATCATTAACAATTGGGATTCGACGAAGAGTAGGTGGAAACGCCACCGTCAGGGCAAATAGTTCACTGCATGGTTATGTTTGTTTAGATTAGCCCGGATGTACAGAAATATAGGACGTTAAACCCCATTTCATTTGGTCATTTTTGTTGTCAATATATTAATAATTTCTCTTTCATCGACAATGTTACGTATACTCGGGGGAAGGTTAACGTCGATGGTGTTTAGCACATGATTGCGTCGACATTAATCGTTGTAGAATGTCCATAGTCTCCCTTACAGTATCTCGAAGAGTGTAATGTTTGTAGTAACAAATATATTTTCTATGGTAGTTTGGATATATATTTTATGTTTATGTTTTGTCGAGGAAGTATCGATAATAGGTCCACTTGTTTACTATGTTTTCAGCTTCTAATGTTCCGGAAAGAGGTTCCATGGAAAACAACCCAGCAATTTCAAATCCTTTTGACTATATCCGTAGGCCTCCAGAAGATGGCCATTATCAAGGAGGTGCAATTAGACCAGTGCCAGTTCTTGAACCTGGTTATAGCTTTCCATTTTCTCAAAGCCCAGAAGGTATTTGAACTCTTTAAAGATTTTTGAAACAAGAAATTTACTTCAAGTACATGGATTTTAATAAAACGAAGAAGGCGACTCAAATTATCACTGTCAGTTGCGCATACTCATTTCACCTGGTCGATTCCTTGATTAGGTTTTGATGATACTCGAAATACGGCATAGGCCTTTACCTTAAGTTTAACACCCATATCATCTTATCTATGCATATTTAATTACCCCACTGGAATTTCTTCCTCATGCATAAACATCAACTAAATTTGAAGTACTTAGTAATGGCCGATGGGCAAACAACAAAATAATAATTTAAAAACCGTGTAGAATGGACCAAACGACTGCTGTTCAGTTGGGACTGTTCACGTATTTTACCGAACATAAATGATTAGAAATTAGGATAAAAAATTTAAAAATTGAATATAAATCACTTTATGCAAAACCCAACCATCAGCGCCATGGCAAGAATGCACTTTTCAACCGTCGCCGATATTCAGGGATGGAACCTCGAGATCTGGAATGTGTTACCGAAGGGTCATCGAATGGTCGCTGAACATTCACCGACGTCTCCTGAGGCTCATCAGTTTCCGTCGGTAGTGCATCCCAGAGGCAAAAAAAGCCTAGTGGGACCTAGGCAGAACATACAGTAGTATGGGAGGGTTTATAAGGACGCACGTGCTGCGCATGCGCACACGCATGCATGTACGTGAATGCGCGTGCACGTGACCTTGCACGTGCGTGACCTTGCACTGAGTGACCCCCTGCACGTGCGTGACCCCGTGACCTAGAAAAGAGAGGGGGCGCGCGGGAGAGAGAGAAGAAGGGGGAGAAGGGGTAAGGGGCAGAGGAAGGGGAAACAACTCTTTTTACATTGCATAAGTTGGCCCTGAAAAGGGCCGTTGTTCTCTCAATGAGAGGGTTCCTCAACAGGAACACTTCGGCTTTTCTGCCGAATACCTTGGTCGCTTCTGGCATTTGAGATGATGTTTCGACCTCCTATGATAGGTGTTGGAAACATCTACTCCACACCAGAAACAGACAAGGTAATCGGCACCCGGCTGATTACCCCTAAACATAGGGTAATATCCCCCACAAGTCTTGCAAAAGCGACAATCGTTTGGATCCATTTTGCTTGTGACATCTCTGGCTTTGACACTCCTATTTATGGCTCGGGAGGGGACGAGTCTAATGTAGGCTGGTTGGAGAAGGTGACAAATCCAGCTTTGTGGGAAGAAATTCCTACCCAAAAGATTTCTTCATTTTCTGAAACAACTATGTCCCTAGTGTTCCAGAAAAATTTTCCCCGCCGACCGGAGTTGAGCAAATTTTTTTACAGCATTTTGAAATTTTGACCCCCTGGGTCAACATAATGAAACTGAAAACCATTTATAACTTCAAAAATATCAATTTTACAGCCTAGAAATGTATTATCAACATATAGGAAAGTGATACCAAGGATTCCAGAAATGATGTAAAAAGTAATGTACGACGTCACCGTGACGTCAAAATACAAAATGGCGGAACTGTGACGTCACTGTGATGTCAAAATTCAAAATGGCGGAGACGTGTTGTGAATAAAGAGTTATTGTGTCCCAAACTTTCCACCGTACATTTGATCGGACAGACTGGCGGGTGAAAAGAAAGGTGGGGATCAAAAACATTATTATATGTCAAAGGGTATTCTCTTTATATAGTACCAAGACTGAATATACGCTAGAGAAGATAGGCAGTTTATACACCAACCAAGATAACTTAGTAGATAAACAAAAGGCTTTAGGCCTATATTGAGGCCTTTCCCATAACAAACAAACATGCAGGGCCTACACCATACATAAACCGGCTGGTTATGTGTCATAGCACAGACCTGTCACCTTCTGCATGCACATTGTCATGTATTGGGCACTGCATTCAATTATTTATCAGCCATGCATAGACCACGTTCTACTTTTCTAGGCCTAAGCCAGGACCCAAGCAGTCTATTGATTCTCACTATAAATAAATAGGGTCTTAAAAAATACTTATTTTGCATTTTCCAAGGCCAGTTGTACTAACTTCCTCCCCCGATTTGTCGAAAACATAATGTAATTTATGTATATTCAAAGAAAACTAAACATATTCTAATAATAAATTGAAACAACGGGGGCTGCCATCTTTGTTTCAAGCAATCTGATTGGACAATTGAGTTACTAGGTTTTACTGTGGCATACTAGGGAAATGAAGGAAGTTGCTAGGTTGTGCCATGGGTGTAACTGCTTACAAAATGAAAAGATTGGAATATCTAGTACAACAACAGGAAGCACACACATTAGTAACTACAAATTTGATAAAAATAAAAAAAAAGTGAGTTACTAGGTTTTGCCTAGTGGACACATTTGCGCGCACGTTTAAGAACCCTGACAGTTTGAATTAAATATAAGAGTAGGCCTGTGGGCGGCTGTCCGGGAAATTTTTTCTTCATAGAACACTGTATGGCGTTTGAATTTCGATAGGGTCCCCCCTGCCCCCCGACTAGTTTTTTGTTTGTTTTAATCTTAATCTGTGCCTGTATATAGGCATATTGATTCGTATTATGTTTGTTTCTGAATGTTGAAATTTAAATAAAATAAAATTAAATTATATAACATAAGTTAAAACAATATTTCAATATATAATCTTGTTATGATATATAACCAATAATGGATACAGTTTTGATAAAATAATAAAATACGGATTCGTTGATCAAGAAGGACAATACAATATATAAAAGAATTAACAATAGTGAAATATAATATAATTTAGTTTAAATAAATAATAGTTTCGTTCAAGATACCCGGACACGAACTTTTACACAAGAGGGACATTTCTCGGAAATTGCAAGCCTGTTTAACTAGATATACAGTATTTACTTTAGTGAAATATAATAAAATTCAAATTTAAATAACAGTTACGTGAATCTGTCCTATACATATCAAACCTGTCCTGACATAAAATATTACACAATGAAACAGAACACCAAGTATATTATCTGGAATATGTTAAAGGGCCAATCCCAATAATATGTAGGAGAATAAAACTGCTTAATTTTGTGTTAAAATCCCTTAAAATCCTCCACCAAAGGGCCGAGCAACTAACTCAATATTTGTGATACGTTTTCAGACAATTTAACCTGTCAGTCTTCATCTGGAAATGGAGACCGGTGTCCCAAACTCTATTATGTGGCTTATGGATAAACCAGACCTTTACTTTATAAAAATACTGTGTAGGTGAAATTTACCTTCGGTTATCAAGTACAGCACATAGGTCATTCATTGTATAGACCTCAGGTCACCCAACGAAAAAATGACCAGAAATCTTAAAAGGGTTACGTGTCCGGATAAGCATTTGTGAAGTTCACGTCCAAACGACTAAATATTGTGAGCTGAATGTTTGAGACAAGGTAAACACACCATTCCTCTATATTTTGGAGCTTAAATTTCAATCGTACTCAGACTTTTATTTTTGAGACGATCTGTTCAAATCGGAAAAGTCCCTTTAATATTTAAAGTAACATTTACTGATCTAAATATTTTCAAAAGCGAAATTCTATTATGACTTTCTGAATTATTAATCCATGTATACTTGGATCATTCACAATCTATGGCCCTCCATCTTGCACCCAACCAACCAAACATATATAAAGATAATAATAATCCATTTCGACAACCTGAATCACTTCCTACTACACTAATTTATAGAAATCTTGGTTCCAATATAATTTGAGTAAATGATGTTTAAAGTTATCAAGACGATAAAGTCGGTATTTAGATCACTTGGCTTGACCATAATCAACGCTCGATGTCATCGCTAGCCTGCGATATTTACTGGATTAGAACCCGGTCTGCTGCTTCTGATTAATTCAAGTTGACTGAAATTTCAGCAAATTTCCTTTACATTATCTAGTTCTTAACTATTATAGTAAGAACTAACAGCACTTTATCTAATAAATGTGCATATATTAATGCATCTATAGTAAAAGTGCCATTTAAAATTGTAATCCTGTTTATATATATATATATGATAAGGAAAGCTGTCTAGTCGTTCGGATGGGACGAAAAACCGAGGTCCCGTGTACACATTGGCGTGCACGTAAAAGATCCCTTGGCAGTTGGAATTCGATATAAGAGTAGGCCGTAGTGCCGCTGTCCGGGCTAAATTTCCCTCATAGCACACTGTATGGCGTATGCCCGTCTTCATTAGCCCAGGTTAGGAGCAGAACAGTAAGACGTTAAACCCCATTTCATTTCATTTCATTTTATATATATATATATCTAACATATTCTTATTTTTCAACATTTAAGTCTTCATTATCCTAGCATCGTTAGTTGTTAATCGAGACCCAGTCTTGCTACCCCATTTTTGAATTATATCATTAAATGGCAATCGTATTTTAATCCATTTGTTCATCTGCGCCACCCGGTGAGCTAGAGAGTTGATTATAGGCTTTTCATGTAAATAAATGTCTGAATAGTAATTATATAACATTTAAAGCCAAAATGAAAACCTATAATGGGGAGAATTAGGTCTTACGTAATTGTAACGCGTGACTTATTAATATACCATCGGTTATCTAAACACTTATGTATTTCATATTTCATGGAAGCTAGGCGTGTCAAGCTTTCTCCGTACCGCCAGGCTTTTTATTCAAAGTGGTTGGAAATATTGCAAGTGTTACCTTTATTATATCTTCAAGTCAAGTTTTTGGGTAAGTATATTGCTTTGTGCTGGAATACACGGTATTATTTTAGGCCCGTGGCCCTACTTTGGATACAATCATCTTTAATTTTAAGAAATTGAATTCTTTATTTATTTATTGAAATACACTGTACATTTATATATACGTAACTACAATATAAGCAGTATTACACACTAAAAGGACACACACTAAACAGTAATTATCACGCCGCACTACCCCCCCCCCCCCACACACACACACACCAACCACCCCTTATTAATCACAGAGAATAGGCAAAAACAAAAACAAAAATCTC